TCCCGTTGCCGGTCCCGGTCCAGTACGGGGGCGACACTGAGGGTTGCGATCTGTTGCCGGATATGGAAAAAGACAAAAAAGGAAAAAAAAAAAAAAAAGATAAATACAGGGAATCCATAAAGTGACTTTAAAATTCATCTCTAAACATTGTTCTGAAGCTTAAAATAGACAGATCGATCATTTCTCAAGCTTCCCAATGTTGTCTTTAAAATAATAAAGGAAAAGAAATGTTCACAAAGATATACTCTTATCTGTCACACAAATATCCTGAGAAGTAAGAATTATTTTCTGCATGGCACATTTATGAGAAAGAGATAAACAAAAGAATGTATAGTCTGTTTAAAATGATTTCTTTGAAATGCCCACATTCATTCGCAATTTCCAGCACAATGTAAATGTAGAGTCTGGAGAGCAGACAGTGGGGATGAAGGGACAATAACTATTCCTTGATAATAAAGGCTGCCATAAAGAAGACGGATTGGCCTTACTCCAGTAGGAAGAAATTAGAAGGAATTTGGGGACCTAAGAGGAGGAGAGCTTCTCACAGTGTGGACCTCCAAAGATAGAATGAGTTGCCTTGTAGAACAGTGAATTCTAAATCCATGGAGCTAATCAGATGAGGCATTTGTAGAGCAATCCAAATATGAGAGAGGTACTGGCTTGGCTGTGATTCCTAAACCAGGCTGCCTATCAAAATCAATTGGGGGGTTACACTATAGATCATTTCAACCATGTATCCTGTCTCTCCTCCTCTCTTGAAATAATCAAAATTTCTCTTTATTAGAACATTATAGTAAATAAGTGAGAAGAGGAATGATAAAATATTATCATTGTATTACTCCTAATGAAACAATGGATTTGTGCAATGATCACTAGCTGCAACCAACATTATACAAAGAGCAACACCTAGGACCTGTGTGCCTCCTGGTGAAAGCACACACCACCTGTTGAGCACTCTTGCCAGAGAATCAAAACAGTCTGTTCTAGCCCCTAGATGTAACTACCAATTGAAATAAATATGGGGACAGAGGATAGATTAAGGGACACTGTAGACATTCAATCAGGAAAATCCAGAGTTTGGGAAATGCTACAGCTAATTTCTTCAGTAAATAAATTACAAAATTGCAAAAAAAGAGCACAAGAGAGGGAAATCTGCAAATTAAAAGAGACTTAAAGACACATCAACCAACTGAAATTTACAGGCCTTATTTGTTCCTGATTTGTAAGCAAAAAAAAATAGTGTTTAAAAATTATGAGATGTGAGAATTTTGAAAATTGACTGGATAGTTTGCTTTTTTAAAAAAAAGAATTATTTTTAAATTGTTAGATGTCATGTTGTATTCTGGCTAATTTTTGGAGGTCCTTAACTTTAGAGACACATACTAAGATACGTATGGATAAATGATATGATGCTTGATATTTACTTCAAAATAGTCCAGGCCGGGGGAAAGTGGAAGCTATTGGGATAAAAGTAAAACAAGAGTAGTTATGACTTGATGATTGTTGAATCTGGGTGATGGGTACATTGGGGGGTTGCTATATTCTAGTCTCTCTACTTTTGCATCTTTCTGAGATTTTCCAAAATAAAAGTTAAAAATATGCAGATTTCTGGGCCCAACCCTTAGAGATTCTTATTTATTTGATCTTGGGTGGGGTCTAAGAAACTATATTTTTTAGTTTTCCTTTTAAGCTGTATTTTTTTTTTAAGTGAGAGGTATCAGTCAGAGGCTCAGTATGTGGAACCCTGCTGCCCCAAAGAACTATTAAGGTTGCTTTCAATCCTGAGATTCCATGTCTCTAAGAAAATTATCTTCAGAGCTTTTCCAAGGCAAACTGCTTCAAAAAAAAAAAAAAAATAGCAAAGCTTTTTTCTGATGTTCATTTATCTCAAACCTCCTCCTCTCTTTTAGTAACAGTCCTGAAAACCTTCAGTGTATAGGTGTCTCTTGACAATGCCATTCCCTCCTAGGCAATTTTAGATCTCTTTATTCCCTTCTCCATCAGAATTCCCTGACCTGCATTCCACTTCCATAGCATCCTTTATATGCCTGGCTAGACATATACTGATTCAAGCCAAAGATTCAAATAATGGGTGATAGTGGCTTAATGTATTACTTTTCCTAAAGAAATTTGGAAGGAAATTTCCTAAAGANTCTTGGGTGGGGTCTAAGAAACTATATTTTTTAGTTTTCCTTTTAAGCTGTATTTTTTTTTAAGTGAGAGGTATCGGTCAGAGGCTCAGTATGTGGAACCCTGCTGCCCCAAAGAACTATTAAGGTTTCTTTCAATCCTGAGATTCCATGTCTCTAAGAAAATTACCTTCAGAGCTTTTCCAAGGCAAACTGCTTCAAAAAAAAAAAAAAAATAGCAAAGCTTTTTTCTGATGTTCATTTATCTCAAACCTCCTCCTCTCTTTTAGTAACAGTCCTGAAAACCTTCAGTGTATAGGTGTCTCTTGACAATGCCATTCCCTCCTAGGCAATTTTAGATCTCTTTATTCCCTTCTCCATCAGAATTCCCTGACCTGCATTCCACTTCCATAGCATCCTTTATATGCCTGGCTAGACATATACTGATTCAAGCCAAAGATTCAAATAATGGGTGATAGTGGCTTAATGTATTACTTTTCCTAAAGAAATTTGGAAGGAAATTTCCTAAAGAAAATTTGAAGGAATTTTCAGTATCTTAACATAAACATATGAATATTTTGGCCACTGTGATAGAAGTCTTGGGTATATTTTTTAGAACATGTAAGATTTTTTGAGAAAAAAAATCTAAGCTCAAATCATACAGCATAGATGGAAGATATTCCATGAATGGGTTTGGATGGCCTCTGACTATTTTCTGTACCTTCTGCATCCACTCAGTGTATTTGACTGTGAGGCACTGTAAAATTTTAAACTTTCTCTTTCATACAACAATAAATTAAGTCGGCTTTAAGACTATTTGTATCATTGTATTTGTATTATCTGGAAATTGGTAATTCATATCTAGTTTAGAAGATTATTTAGTTAACCAGCTATTACATTTACCAGAAGCCCCATTTGCCCAATCAGTCCTGTTGGCCAATTCCCCCTTAGAAAATCCCACACTTAGGACATACACATTTGGATCTGGTGACTGGAAACCTGGGCCAACCTTAGAGGAAGCATGACTTTCCCTACCATGAGGAACAGAGTTGAAAAATCTGAGAAGTGGAGTCAACCCAAACCAAAGCCATCCAGACAGTCCAACTGGGTCAATTATATAAAGAATCTCAGCAGAGCAGGAAGATCTGTGTATAAGACAAAAAGAGAGAAAATGAATATGAAAGAGAGAAATGGAAGTGACATTCTCTAGATATGTTTGGCCTATCCTTAATCTCTCTGGGTTTTAGGATAGACATGACATCTCATCAGATGCTTTTCATGTTTATCCTCTGAAACATTCTGTGGTTCTTTATTAATACACATGTACAGGTATCAATGTATTGATACATAGGAGAAGAGCAGAGGGATGGAAGATGTTGGGAAGAATGTTCTTAGTCTAGAGTGCTGGTGCACTGGTAAGAGGTGATTAGCATGATGCTATGTGGGGAAATTCCCATTGTGGCATTCTATGCTAATTCTTCCAAAAAAATCATTTTAGGTTGGCAGAAATTGCACACTCCCTTCTGAAGCTGGCACCATATGACACCCAGACAATGGAGAGCCGGGGGCTTCGGCGCTACATCATGGAGATGCTGCCCATTACCGACTGGACAGCCGAGGCAGTGAGGCCAGCCCTTATTCTCATTTTAAAGAGATTGGATAGGATGTTCAACAAAATTCATAAGATGCCTACTTTGAGGTGAGGAAGCCTCCTAGTCAGCTGTTGATATTGTAAGCCTCAGAATTAGGATTTGTCATTTTTTAAGATGGTGGATTAATCTGGAGTTGAATGAATGACTTGAAAGTTTTCTGTTGGTACATATGCATAGCCAAGCAGGTCTATGAGTGCCTCAGTAACAGAGTCTACGTTTTGAGGAAATGACATTTTCTTTGAAAATATATGTGTTCATCTTGAAAAATCTATCCATTTCTTAGCTATCATGTTTCTCATCTAACACACATAAGAAATTCAACTAGTACCCTTCAATCACTTTTGAAATAAGGTAGGGTATGCCTCATAAATAAAACATCTAAGAAAAAAAGAGAAATTGATTTGATGTTCAAAATACTGTATTTAACATAGTTAACATATTTGGGTACAGGTTTAGAGAAATGCCAGCTTTACAATAATCAGTCAAGCAACAGCCAGAAAGGTCACAGAATTGATAACAAATACCAGTTTTCACATTTTCACCTGATTCAGTGTAGTACTAAATGAACATTTTTACCACTTGGTCTCTGTTCAGTGGCCCGAGAAATACTCATCAGTAGCCTTTCTATAAGCAGCTGTCTCTGAACCAGTCTCCCTGAAGATGATAGCCTAGTGTGGAAACTATAGTTATAGTAAGCAGGAAGTTCGACTGGTAAATTCTGGTCAACTCACTAACTCGGAAATTGCAAGTTTTGTTAATGAGAGCATTTTCTGTCCTTTTAAACTAAACCCAGAATCAATGAAACTCTTGCCCAAGAATATATAGCACTGAGTGTTCAATTTGTCAGTAATTTTCCAGTGAAATTGCAAGTTTTGTTAATGAGAGCATTTTCTGTCCTTTTAAACTAAACCCAGAATCAATAAAACTCTTGCCCAAGAATATATAGCACTGAGTGTTCAATTTGTCAGTAATTTTCCAGGCATTAGCCCGTGTCCTTCTTCACATATGTGGAACCATCAGAAGTCACCGGAAAAAAAAAAAATTGAAATATTTCATTCTATTAATTGATGGTTTTGTTCTTATATGACAGTACTTCAAAAAGTTTGTGGAAAAATAGAATTTAAAGCTAATACAAATCTTTCCATGAACTTTTTGAAGACCCCTTGCATTCTTTTATGCCATGGCGATGAGTGCCTGTACATTACTTCAGGTAATTTCAGTGACATGGACATACTTGTTCTTAAAGCACTATTTCCTTAGTGGACACATCCGTCTCTATCCACAAATGACTGATCAAAGATTTATAACTGTCATACAAGTGTGTGTCAAAATAAATTCTTTTTCTTAAATAACGTGGTATCTAAAGATGTTTAACACCACCACAAACTTACCCATTTGTCATATAATTAAGCCCATTGTAAAGGATATCATGCTTCCCAGAAGTAGATTTCTGGATTAATGCACAGACTTGGTCAGTTGTAGGCAATTTTCTTAGGCGGCGTGCTGTGAATATGGGATTTGCTTGGGTATAATTTCTTTAGTTCTCTCAATTCAACACAAGAAATGTTGACTGGACCCTTGGATTATTTGGGCACCTTTGGCATCAGGGCTGTCAATATATCTTCATCTATGAATGAATTTCCATGTTGTTGTTGCAGAGATTCCATTTTGGTAGGAAAGCTTAGCAGGTATTTCCAGGAAAATATATGAAAATAGTGTTGATATCAGCAAATCTTTACTATTTATTTGGAGGCCACAAGGTTAAATCTTCCAGTATCCAGACAATTGCAGATGGGATTGACTTTTATTACAGAAAATCCCACTTTCATGTAATTGGGTTATGCATACCACCATTTATACTACCATAGAAAGTAGCCAAAAATATCATTTCTTGGGAGGCCAAGAAAGAATGGGGTTTTTTTTGTTTTTTGGGTTTTTTTTCCTTTTTGTCTTTTTTCGTGACCGGTAATGGGATCGCAACCCTCGGTGTCGCG